GCACACACATGCTTGTGTACATATTTCAGCTTTGCTTTGACCCAACTGTATTTCTCCAATTTGTGTCTAGCTGTATCTTTGGAGAATTCTGCATGTATGTTTGTGCAGATACTGTAATATACAAAAAAAATGGGTCAGTGTATATGAAGATGCATATATGAACACATCTGGTTCCGGTTTGTCTGGATTGTGTATATGTGTGTTGCTAGAAGCTTTCAGTCTCTCTTTGGGGGATTGCATCACAGGGCAGCTATCAGACCTGAGTCATCACAGAGGTTGAGAGGCCCTCTGAAAGCTTTCCTTCCTCTTTTCTACTATATGCACAAATTTCTTTTGGTCATACAGTTGTATGTTGTTTTTATGAACACTAAGGTATGACAGAAAAGGAAAATTTACTTTCAAACCAAGCCACACACTCTCGTAGCTCATTGGTGTATTCCTGACTGTTTTAACAGTGAAACATGTCCATGTGTTGGTTCTTTAGTAACATAAAAACAGATGCTTTTCCAACAATAAGTCATGCTGTTCTTGCAGATGCTGGTTATTATTTTCAGTAGTTAATCCCAGTTTTAGCTTCATCATGTGTCTAGAAAGCAACACAGGCTCAAATATAGACATGCATTCACTTGAATTTTTTTAGGTGGTGCTGACGGTTTTACGATGTCTTAACTTGACAAGGTCAAAGTCTATTAATGCCGTTAGTGATCATGATTGATTGATTACAACTGGAAGTTTCTCTATGCCAGGTAAGGGTTTGTTGGACAGCACTCAATGGACTGACCAATACTCGGAACAATGGGAACGCCCAAAAACCTTAAAGTTTGAGTGAAACTTAGAGCTGCCCACATCATAAAGACAAAAGCTTTTTGGTGAAGTTTTCTGGTCAGACTAGACAAAGACTGAGCCATATGGCGACAATGACAAAAGGTATGTTTGGAGGAGTAAATGTGAGGCTTTCAAACCTAAAAACACTGTACTGACTGTTAAGCGTGGTGGAAGCATCATGTTCTGGGCCTGTTTTGACACTAATGGAATTGCAAAAAGTAGATGGAATCATAATTATTCAACTTTACTTTACATCAGCAGGTAGATGGTCGAAACCTTGACACCACTGGTTTTTCCAACAAGACAACAATCTCAACACTCAACATTAGGCTTCTTGAGTAATTTTCTCAAAAGCTGATTTCAACCCTGTTGCAAAATTTGTGGACTGTACTTAAAAGCCAGGAAACCAACCAATTTAAATTAACTCAATTCTGCCAAGAAGAGTGTCCAAATATCAAGCCAGAATTATGCTACGAGTTTGTTGATGGTTACTAAACTTACTAAGCGATTTTAACATAATATTAGTGGAGGTCTATGGTATGTACAACTTTGACCCTGTGTGGATTAGAGAAAATGCCATCAGTCCAGTAACTGGTGATTTCTGGTTGATTTGCGTGTGTGTGTGTGTGTGTGTGTGTGTGTGTGTGTGTGTGTGTACCAGAGTACCACCAGCCATGCATGTTTTCAAAAAATATTTGTTTACTTGGCAGTTTTGTCCAGTTTTAGAGTGATCTTAATAAAACAGGTGCACAGTCATGGAATGTAAATTGGCAAAGATGGTGATAAAATGCTTTTAAATGGTTAGTGCAAAGGAGTTCTAATTTACCAAAAGAAGAGCACTTTTGTTGACCCTCACAGCCCTAATGTGCAAGGTTTAAAAAAACAAAAAAAACCACAAACTCACTACTAAACAGTTTGATTAAATGACATGTATGATGCGTGCAGCCTTCCTGGGACTTTCCTTGCTTGCCAACAAACTGTGACGTATGCATGGGAGTGTGTCCTGGTCTCAGTGAGGGTGAATGCAGTGACAGTGAGGGGGTGTGTGGGAACAGCTGTGCAGGCTAGAGACGGTTAACAATAGAGAGCTTTCATACTACACATTCTGCTGCAGCGTGTCACCAGACAGTCTTTCTTTCTCACTTCCCTCTGCTTCCCACTCGTTTTCCTTCACATCTCACATCCGTCTGTCTCTTTCTCCCTATCCCACACACACTCCCACATACTTGCCACTGCCCATGTTCAATCATACACTTCTCCCTTGCTCGCTCACTCTCCCCCTGTCTCCCCTCTCTCTCAGCCTTATTCTTTCCCGCTCCCTCCCCAAAGTTTCCCGCTACCACTTTAACCACTATTTCCTCCTTTCTTCCGAGGAACTGTGCTCATTTTGTCATCACACCTCACCCACACATGTATAAGCACACGCATCCTGCTTTTCCCAGAAGAAGTAAGGGGGGGGGGAAGGGGAAGTTACTTCAAGGATAAGGTAAAGCTCCTCTTGCCTTTCCCAGACGGGGTGTGTCAAAGCTTTTGTCTGTCTGATGCTATATTAAATATCAGAGTTGAAAGGAGTGGTGTGATGTGTGTGCATGTGTGCAGAAGTCTCTAGCTTTTTTGTTCTTTAGAGAGAAAGAATGTTGGCACAAAGCGAGCCACTACGGGAGAAGTAGGAGGTTGGAGTGCTGAAGTGCCAGCCCAGGTCTGTTTCATTTCATTTGCACTGTAATGAGTCTTGTTACTGCTGTAAGCTGGGAGTTAAAAGTTAAGCCACATAAAGGGAGGAATGCAGGTAAGAAGGGAGGGAAGGTGAACACAAAAGAAGGAAAAACGGACAAGCCTCCGAACGTTCACCTAAAAACTTGCGAACATTTTGGAACGAGAGGCGCAATAAAGAGAAACTTTTTTGGGGGGGGGGTTGTTGTCTTTGTCTTCTTCACTGTGCCGCACTCTTTCCAAACGTGCCCCCTCTTGCATCGAGCTCTGAAAAGAAACTTAAGCACAGATCGTCAAGAGGTCTGAAAAAGTTGGCTGTGTTTGTGCATGACTGTGCGTATGTGTGTCTACTTGAGTGCCTCGGAGGGAGCGTGTGTGTGTTGTGTGCGCGCCTAGGTCTGTGTGGGAATGATTACATCAGCCTGCTGCAGCTTTATGATTGGTTAGTGAGCGTGTGGTTTGATTCAGTGTGCCTCAGAGCCCATGGCTGAGGCTGTAACCCTTTGTGAGGGAGAGAGAGAGACAGAGCATAGTTGTCAGACTCAACCGGCACTGGAAGCACTCTACTGTACCTGCTGCCATCCGATTGCCGACTGCTTCAGTGTCTTCGTCCTGTGCGTTGTATACATACCGGCATTAGGTCACACAGACAGTTTGTTCTTTTCCTTTCCTTTTCTTTTTTTTTTTTTTCTCTTTTCTTTTTTGGAGACTGCAGTCTACAGATAGACTTGAGGACTAGCCTCATGACAGGTAGCACAACTGTCAGCTGTTGGCATTCAAATTGGTACCTTTCTTTCTGGAGGACACAGGGCGACAGAACAGCGAGGTTTTCGGTCTTATTGACTATATTGGAGTGAGTGCGCTTATGTGAGTGTTTGGGGGAGCCGATTCATTCCGAAAATGCCTTCGTGTTCCCCGGACTGCTGCCTATTGCGGGCCGTGGAGGTAAGACCCCTCTTCCTGTGTCTCATTTCTCTTTTCGCCTCCCTCTCCTCTTTTTACAATTTAAGACATTTTCTCTTTGAAGTACTTTCACGTTAAACCTGAGGCAGGAAATGTAATGTGTAAATACTGTTAAGGCCGAAGACATTTTTCTTTTCTTTTTTTTCCTTTTCCAAGATGTGAGCAGAGCAAAAGGATCCAAATACGTCAGCACCCTTGAAAAGGGGTATATGCTCCATTGCGTTTCATCTTAAACATCTTTGATAGGCAGAGTGCCTTAGGCCTGGCTTGTGCAAACTGTGATGCTATAAGCTGGGTATTTGCTCAGGAAGAGAACAGAATTTCTTTGTCATGATATTATGTGGGAGGCATGCATACATGTGAAAGCTTAGCCTACACAGGAATCCAGCCTACTAAGGGCTGCATTTGTCTGTAGGTTAAGTAGGTTGCTCTAGTTTCTCTGGGGGCCATTAGAAATGTATCAAGTAAATGTTAACACATGTTGTCCTGTTTATTAAAAAAAATGGCTCTGGGAACTTGGACTGTCAAAATCCCCTGGATTATGTGGTGGAATAAAAGGCTTATCCACAGTATAGATGTAGTGCTACTAATGCTAATATTAGACGCCTGGATAGTGATGGTAGGCTCTCACACAGATGGGATATTAGAGGAAGGTTTTAGCTGTTCAGCACCTCATGCATTATTGCTGTACAGCAATATATAGAAGTGTTTAAATTTTATGCAGAGGTGTAACAGCGCTCCAAATTTGTTTGTCCATTTTGTTTCGTACAAAATAAAAACAAATTCCACCTCAACCATCTCCAAATATTACAACCTTCCCCAAACGAGCATGCTTTTAATAGAAATATGGGTTTTATTGATATTATTTATTTTTGAGCTGGCTAGAGTACTATTACCAACGTTCATGATGCTACTGTGTGAAATGCGTTATTAAAGAAAGTAAACAATTTAACAACAGTCAGTTCAAGTTAAGACAGTTTTGTTTATGAGGTTAAGCTGGAAAGCACAGTGTTCGTATCCCTCATCTTTTATATACTGTAACTTAAAACTGTGCTTACTTCTCTTTGAGCTGTGTTCAGTACGTACCCATTTGGACCGGCTTTGTGTTCACAAGAGCGGACACTTGTTATGCACTGGAGTGTATTTGCTTTTGTATTACATCGACAAGTTGCTATAAGAAAAGCTCATCTGTTATTTCTAACGCCACAATTACTGTATAGTTTTGAATGTCTGTTCTTTTCTATTGTGTGCCGTAATTACAAGGCTGCGTATGCTATAGTGCATAAGGTGCTATATGAGAAACCGTATTGCAGTGTTTGAGGAAAATTGCTGGCTTCACCCACCTATTAGACTCTAGTGTTCAAAAAAAGGATTTGTGTAAAAGTCACGATGAGTTTACTGTAAAAGTTTCTTCTCACTTTTTTTAGTATTTCGTTTGTCAGACTACCTTCATGTGATTTCTGTTCACTCAAACTGAAACCTTGGATTTCTTGTCACAGATTGTGAAGATCTTCAGTGAAGACGGCATGGGTAAAGTTGTGGAGATCCCAGCCAACATGACAGCCAGGGACCTGTGCCAGCTCCTGGTTTATAAAAGCCATTGTGTGGATGACAACAGTTGGGCACTTGTTGAACACCACCCACTGCTAGGGCTAGGTAAGGAACAGAGCTGTAGAAGCCTGAAACATTCTCAGTCTCATACACAGACACACATACCCGTGAGCACACATGAACAGGCACATTTTCCCACACAGAAACCCATGGGCTCATGGGTGGGCTCAGACTTGCAATTCAATCACTGAGTTACAGGTGCATTGATATTTATGCATGCATGCATGCATGCATGCCCGTATACTTGGCTGGACAGTTGAGGCGCTGATTCTTACCCAGGCGTGTATTCAAGCATGAGTGCATGCTAGAAAGCATATGCATGCATGAAGCCAAAAATTCCATTGATCTTATCCAGTATCACGCAGTGGCTGTGTGGAAAGTTGCAGTAGCCGATAGGAGGGTTATTTTAGTACTGACAGGTTAATTATTTTCACATTCAATAGAGAAGAGACAAAAGATTATTCGGGGAAGAAATATCTAAAAGAAAGCTCAAAACCGAGCAGTTACATGAGAGCAAAAGACAGTCTAATCTCCATGTGTGCACGATTACATTAAAATCAATATCTTGAGGTTCTTTTAGTATGCTTTTGATTGTTGTTTAATTTTTGAGAAAGTAGTTCCAGTGCAGAGTAATTATATTGGACGTCCTGATATTTTTTAACTCTGGCAGACTGATTTAAGATCAAATAAAAACAATACAAAACAATCATAATGGGAATGGACAAAGAATCCAGGACACTTCCACCTGTCATTATGAGCCCTGATCTATTTGTTGGGAAATATTTTGGCCTAAAATGTGATTACAGTTGATACGGTTTGAGAGGTTGGTGGTTATGTGTTAGCAGATGGAGTTGTTTAAAGCGTTTGTTACTAGACCTGCTATTGTAACTGATGGAGAGGTGAAGCCAATGAGTGCACCAGATGCTGACCTGATGGGGATGATTTTGCTGCTCATTAGTATGGACATGTGTAGTGTGTTATACTATATGTTCTTCTTGTATTTAGAGGTAAACACTGCTGAAGTTATTCAAAAAGGTGGAAAGAAGGTAACGCAGTGCGGCCGACTTGGCTTAACATTTACCCCGATTTGCTAAAAAGTATAAGAATGTGACATTTAGTTTCGAATACTACCAAACTACTAATGTAGCATTATAAAGACACAGCTCTATTTTAACTTGGTGCTGCATTAAGAAGGCCGCAGAGGTTTACATTTATGTCCGGGTGATTTTTGTGCTAGACTCAGCAGTATAAGAGGGGCTTTGGAAGGTTGTGGCCAGCTGACTGTTTAAGAAAAAAGGAAAGAAACCCCCGAGGAGGGGGCAATTATAAAGCACTTATGAGAGACAAGTTGAGCCTGTGCTCTCTGCTCATGTCTGCACAGTTGAACAGATGTGGGAGAGAAGGGGGTGTAATTTTATATAGAGCTGCATGTCTGGAAGTGAAGTGCACAGTAGACAGAAACACGGTTTAACACACAAAAAAAAGACATTTAATTTATGAACCAGTAACTTGTGTCAGTATATTTGTGTAGTTTTATTTATTTAATTTTTTTGTGCTAGCTGTTAATGTTGTCAGGTGAGGAAACTTGGAATAATACGATCTGCTCTCTGCAAGTAAAGGTCCCAAAGCTCTAACCTTACATTTCACCATCTATCATGATCTGCTTACATTTCTCATCACTCCTGCCAGCACCTTGCTGCCAAATACAGTTAAGTTGGCTTATTGTGAGTGACATCATTTTTGGCTGGGAGCCCTTTATTCTGTTCTGGCACACCTGTACTGCAACGCTGTTCTTTTCAGGTCTGGAATTGCTACTTATCATCTCCAGTGTTTAGACGTTTCAGTAAGTGAGACGTCAGCGTGCCGTTTGTTAATGTTATACTTGCTTCACTCCATTTGTATGTGTGTTCTTAAAAAAAAAAAAAATCAAAGTAAGCTCAGTGTATGCATCACAACACATTTGCTGACACATTTCCATATATGTGGCTCTCATCAGTATTTTTGAGTAGCTAACAGATGTGCTTAATTGCTTGTCACAGGCCATAATTACATTTGTTTACTTTATTCTCCCTCAAGTATTGATTTTGGTTTTTTTTTTTTTTTTAATAGCCTTGTGGCCATAAAAGACAAAATTGCATTTGTGATAAATGCAGTTAAGTATTTGATGGAACGTTTTAATATCCAAAACTCTGTTCGGTAGCTGTTTGCTGATATTTAATTGCGTGAGAGGTGCCGGCCACTGTAATATGTGCATTAAATATTTCCTTCATATAGTGAAATTGAATTGTAGCAGTATGTGAGACTCCTGCCTCAATTTGCGTGCGCACCCCCGCTTTATGTCGGGTCAGCACACACGGCATGTGATCCCGAATGTGTGCACATGCAGTTGGACGGTAGACGAGAATAGATGTTTCCGGGAGTCTAGAACAATACGGTGCCTATTCCTGCTGCCCACTCTTGCTATGCTGCTGAATGGCCCTTTGAGATAAGTAACACTGACCTCTGCTAGTGGGTTTGCAAAGGTTAACAACTATCAGGCGGGGAGGTGGGGCTGCCAGGGTGAGTCACGGTCACGAACACGAGTGACTCATCAGACAGGCAACAGGATTAAACGGAAAGAGAAAGATGAGTCGTGACAGAGTGGAGATTGTGGCCGCGGGGGTAAAGAGGAGGGGGCTCATGGAATGAGATAATAATGTGAGATGAGTTTACTGAAAAATTGCTCTCGAGTATTCCTTTTTTTACATGAATCTGATCTGGTGTCTAATGGTCCTCAAAAAGTTTGGTAAGTTCCACTATTTAATTAGATGCACTTGAAAAGGCAGGATGTCTTTAATTTAAGACATGACAGGACTCGGAGGCTGTAACCGTGTGACTCATGTTCCGGTCCAATGTGTCACAATCAGAAACTCTAAATCAGCAGGACCTCTGACTCCACATTCCTTCAAGGATACTTTTAGTTGATTTGCAGATTTAACCATTTATTTAGTAGCACTGAGAGGCACTGGGCACGAACCAATAAAGCACATCTGTAGTTTAGTGATCTATATGGATATGTACGTACTACATAGGGAATATATAAACATACATATGCCAGGAATCACTACAGTTTGATGCTGTGAGAAATCCTATTGTGATTCCATTCTAATCTGAGATTCTATTCGGTGCTTAATTGAACTGTCAGATGTACAAATACTTACATTTGTGGGATTAGCATAAAGTATTTGTATATCCCATATAGATGTTGGCACTCAGTGCCCTAAGCAATATTTATGCAAAGTTTAATCAAGATTGGTCCACTCGTCAGCGACAGAGATGGGGAACATACGGACATATGTACATTGCAATTATTATAATGACATCCTGTCCTTTTTTATCTTGGGAAAAGATGAGATGACATCATACTGCTTCTATGTTTTGTTTTTGTTTTTTTTTTAATTTAGACCAAATGACTGCGATTGATTCCTTTCTGGCTCTGCTGTGTAGTAGTAGTAAACACGGTTACTTCTAATTTTAAGATTCCTGGTTTGAGCGCGGAAGGAGACGGAAACTCACAAGCTAGCTAGTGTACTCCTCATGCCGGTGCCAAGCCTGTACAAATGGGAGGGTTTCATTAGGAAGGGCATCCGGCGTAAAATCTGTGCCCAATTAAACATCCACCGTGGCAATCTCCTGGGAAATAAGGGAGCAGCCGAAAGTACCCCACTGAGTTTTTGTTTGTTTTTTTTTCTCCCCCTTTAAGTTTAATTTCTGGTTTACAAGAAATGTTGATGACTAATATTTCTCTTGTTTAATTATTTAAGTTTGGTGCGAGGGTGTTTGTGAGATGTTGAAGATGTTTTCAGCCAAGCTTGTGAAATTAGCTTGACTTTCTCTTCCCGTCTCCTTTCAGAGCGCTGTCTAGAAGACCATGAGCTGGTGGTTCAGGTCCAGGCCTCCATGAACAGTGACGGTAGATTCCTCTTCAGGAAGAACTATGCCAAATATGAATTCTTCAGAAACCCCCTGGTAATTATTTTTCCTTCACTTCTTTACTTGCCACGTCACTCGTGACGGCATCTTGTTGAAATACAGAGCCTGTAAAAACAGCAAATTTGAGCCAACTTAACCTTGCAGATTATTTCATAATTACAGCAGACTGCAATAATGAAAGTAGTCACCTGTGCTTCTGTCACAAAATCTGACACTATAATTATCGTCACAGTATCTGTAATTCTGCCTCTCTCTCTCTCCACACCTCCTTCTTTGAACAGACGTTTTTCCCAGAGCACATGGTCGCGTGGTGCCAGGAAACTAATCATGCAATTCTACCATCTCAGCTTCTTCAGGTACGTACAGCTCACACACGCTGCAGTCTCGCTGCTCTTCTTAACACGCAAACAGTTTCGTTTTCAGAGTCAGCACCTGCTACATACATACTGTACAATCAAGCTGGCATACCTCACCTCTGACCCTTAGACAGTGTGTCTCGTCAGAGCCTGCAGTAATAACTAGTGTTGATCCCCTGTTGACACGACTGTCTCGGCGCACACCACAGGTCCGGCTCTTGTGATGGATGGAATTAAGCCATCAGAAATAGAACGCAGAGTTTCGGATCTACCCTTGTGCGGTTGGGAATTTTTATTTATTTATTTATTTATTTTATTTTATTTTTTTTTTATTGATTGAAATACGAGCAAAACACAGCTGAATTGAATTTTTTAACAGTGTCTTTTAAAATGTACAGACAGCGGAATGAATGATGGGGCAAAAAATAAAATATCTTCTAAAACATTTACCTTTTTAATGTTGTGGGAGGTTTGGGGTGGGGGCAGGTTGTGGACTGGAGGATTATGATGGTAATTCGGTGAGCCGCTTTTGTGAAGGAGGCTGGTCGGATATATTAAGATGCTTTTTTTTGTCAAAGCTGTAGTAGCAACCAAAATGAAAAAACTTGATAGGTTTACTGAAGTTTTTTAGTGGACTTTCTCTAATGTAGTTACAAATATGTGCTGTCATTTTAATTTGCAGTGGGTATGTCCAGTGGCTTCTGTTTAGTGGACAAAATTGTGCCTGTCAGTATCATCATATTCAGAGCTTCAGATCCAACTCGCAGCTGTACGTGTTAGGAAATTATTCATGTTTTTATCACAGATGCTGTAAATGGCTGTCAGAAAAGCTGGCTGTCGATACATGTTAGATGTTGAATGATCCTTTCTCCAGACTTCTCATCCTTTAGGAAATCTGTAAGGACTTAGACAGGTTGGGCCGAGGCAGGTTTATATTCGTGGGATTTCCTGTGTATAAATCTCCAAATATCTTTATGTTCATACATCCATCTTCTGAGTGTCTCGGCAATAGGATTTAAACAATTTGCGTAGTTCCATAGTGGAAAATTTTCAAATGGTGACCTTTTGGTTAGAATGACTCGGGCCTCGAGCCATGTGTTCTGTTTTGGGGTTCTAGGTAATTACACTCAGTTTGTTTTTATTAGCCAAGTTGGGATCTGCACCTACCTGTTGTATGTTTTCTCAGTACTGTTTCCACATGTGTGTCACGTGTACTTTTTGGCTTCTCACTAATACTCCCAGTATACTCTTTGCAAATATCAAAAAAGAGAAAATGTCTGGTAGGAGATTTTTTTATTTATTTTTTTTGAAATATCTTAATGGGATTGGCTGGCGTTCTCCTGCATCATGTAATGGAGCTGTCAGAGTTAAAATCACAAGTGGAATCCATCACTTCAAGGTAGCCACTCACAGAAAGCTTTTAAGTCCGGCTGATCATATAGAAGTTATGCGCACTTATCCTCTGCATAGAGGAGTTAATAACTGGATCGGAATGAGGTGAGCTGGAGTTGTCAGGAATTTCCAGAGCCGGAATTCTTCCAAACACAAGATCTTTGCACTCAATTAGAGTCCTGTGTAAACCAAGGCGCTCTCTAATCCTGAGCTCCTCCAGGTGTTTGCAATATTTGGCATTATGCAAGATGCATGTGAGTAAGTTACTGAAGCGAACGGCCTCCAAGGGACAGCTCTTTGTATTAACGTTCCGTGTGACTGTGCAGAGTTTGGATAATGTTCATGCACGAAGCCTAATGTCAAATTGTTTCCAAAACACTGGGAAACACATGCTTTAAATATTCAAAAGTACTGTGGAACAGTTTGCCTTTACCCGCAAGCCACAGATTCCAGATCAGCTTCAGTAACTTGACTTGCAGTTCACGGTGAAATGCTTTCCTAAAACATGGAAACCACAAACACCCAATTCTTCAAACACCTATAAGACAAGTTAGGCTTCCCTGTAGAAATGCACGATTTTCATTTTAAAGCCACAAAACACAACAGGACAGTTTTAATGGAGTTTTTCTTTTGAGTTTAACAAACATATCTTTTCCAAGCAGTATTAGTAAATTATGCATATACTGTTCTCTTATTTTTTTGTAATTAAATGTACAAATGTCACTATCAGGATTGTGACAGCCTTTGAGTTTTCACACATTGTCACAATGAGCCTCCTGTCTTTGATGCCCCTACGGATGGTGCCAGCTTTCTGCCTGTGGTAGTGACAGGGGGTTCAAAGGCTTCAGATGTAATCTGGCTCCTTTTTACAAAAGAAATGACAGAGGGAATAAATTGTTATTTATTTGCATTTTCCCGCTCCCTGTTTTAGAACTTCCTAGCCACCAACAGCTGTCCAGAAATCCAGGGGCATCTGTACATGAAGGACGTGGGAAGGAAATCATGGAAGAAGGTTTACATGTTTCTGCGGCGCTCAGGGCTCTACTGTTCTACAAAAGGAACCTCAAAGGTAACGGCGGCTCGCTCCATTCATCTCAGACGCGAAATACAGTCCACCTTAAATGTAATCTTGAAAGAAACTCCGTATTATTGACGGCCGAGTTGCACACGCCTCTGTCTGTTCGTGTGCCTCCGGGCTGTCTCCTCTCTGATATTTAGATTTATTAATTTCTGTCTCCAGGAGCCCAGACATCTACAGTTACTAGCAGACCTCGAGGACAGCAACATCTTCACTGTCATCACAGGCAAGAAGCAGCACGGCGCACCCACAGACTACGGCTTCTGCATCAAGGTGAGACGCAAGTGAGATGAAACAGATTTTATCTAATTATGAAATAGTGGAATGATGAAATATTATGAGCTGAGTATGATTCATATCCTGTGCCGTTTCTTGTCTCAGTAGAACTGGTTTATCAGCACAGCAACTTTTTTTTTTCCCCGCCCTGTGATTTATGAGTTATAAACTCAGATGAACTGTCTTTGGTTTTGTTGTTCATATCATCTTTCTCTCTCCAATTAATAATAATGGTGATAGAAGTGGTGTCAAGAATAAGAGTTTGATGCAGTGAGCGTAGTCTCTGTTCTGATTGTGTAAATTGTTCATTGGCAGCCTAATAAAAGCAGAGGGGATATGAAGGAGCTGAGAATGCTGTGTGCAGAGGACGAACAGAGCAGAAGCTGTTGGATGACTGCTTTTCGAATCTTTAAGGTAATTCTGCACTGCCTACATCACAGTACAGCCAACATGACTTTAATTCTTTGTAATGCAAGTAATTTGATGGCCTTTATTCACTACTCTGTTCCTTTTCCTTTGCAGTATGGGATCGTATTGTACCAGAATTACAAGATTCCTCAACAAAGGAAAACTTTACTTTCACACTTTTCAGCTCCTGTGGTAAGTTTACTGGAGTGATTGTGCATGTAAGGATATAGTCTGACTTAGTTTAGGTAAATGATCTGCCTTCGTATGTAGTCTGTCTGCACTCTTGTATTTTGACTGTCATGTGTCTTTGTCTCCCTCTAGAGGAGCGTATCGGAGAACTCCCTCGTGGCAATGGATTTCTCAGGGAGGATAGGCAGAGTGATTGACAACCCGGTCGAAGCTCAGAGTGCTGCCATGGAGGAGGGGCACGCGTGGCGGGTGAGACATGCTCGGCTTTTTGTTACCTGTTAGGTTTTTTTGTTTTTGTTTTTTAATGATCCTTGCAGTTCTGTTTATGTTTGCTCCGATAATTATAGAGAGTTAGTTGGAAAAGATGAATTCATTTAATTTATAAATGTACAAGGTGACTTTTAAGTACTTGATTTAGGCTGTCTGAAATTCCATTTTCTGTCCAATTGTAAAGGAGACAATGATCAGGTTCCACAGTCTTAAAATTAGACCATGCGTTCACCACATTTGATCTGATCTTTCCTTAGCCTGTTTACTGTTTTAGTGATTGTTTTTCACTTAAAGTTATCAGAATTATGTTAAGAAGCTACAAATTGCTGCTGTTTACTGTCGCTCAAACAGACCATGAACTAAACCACATTGTTTTGTCTCTGTGTGGCATCTTTCTCAGAAGAGGACTCAACGAATGAACATACTGGGGTCCCACAGTCCATTACACCACTCCTCACTAAGCTCAGGTAAATGCAAAACAGGGGAAAAAAACTTGCAACTGCTCCCTAACTTTGCATATTCTTTCTGTGTATATAATGTTATTTTATAAAAATGTACTTTAAAAAAAAAATGTTATTCTCTGCAGTCATCCACATAGCTCAGCTCTGGTTCCATGGCAGGATAACCAGAGAAGAGTCCCACCGAATTATCCACCAGCAGGGACAAGTAGATGGGTAAGTAAGCTGGCAAAGCTTTTATATATCGGTGTGTCTATATAGATATATAATCTGTAACACTAAGTGAAGGCTTTTACAACATTTCGTCTCCTTTTTTGTCGCACAGGTTGTTTCTGCTGAGAGTCAGTCAGAGTAATCCCAAGGCGTTTGTGCTCACATTGTGCCATCACCAGAAAATCAAGCATTTCCAGATCCTACCGGTAAGACTCTCGCTTACTTGTTACATGTCTCGTGCGTGTTTGTATATTGTTGCACCTGATGGCTTTACTTTACTGCATTTAAGTGCTTGCCAAATCTATTAGACCACAATTAAAGTAAGTAAACACAAGAGTTTTAGAACTCTGTCAAAAATTAATCAAGTATAATTCCTGTTCAGGTATGTAAGTAATGAACTCATTTTTTCCCCATAAGATGCCAAATTAAATGTTTATTGTTTTCATCTTTTTTTAAAATACAATATTAAATTTGGACCATTACATTAACCATTACAGAAACAAAAATATTATTTGATAATTACAAGCTGTTGTTGTTGTTGTTGTTGTTGTTGTTGTTGTTGTTTAGGGCAGCTGTGGCATAAAACTCACACTGGGTGTTGGTCTAATACGTTTGTTAAATACTGCATCTTCCATGGTAGCTTAGTCTGTTAACCCTGTAATGCCAAGTGTACCATAGTTATGAGTGTTTGTGATCTTTAAACCACCAGTGTTTTTATATTTTAATTTATTTTTTTATTTGTATGTGTGGTATGTAGCCGCTGCACGGTGTCAACATCATTTTAACGATATTAACGCTGACAGCACTAATATAAAAAACTAAATTGCACAGAAATTCCAAATGTGGCAAAATCAAAACACATATATGCAAATTGATATTTAATTTTTAAATTTGTCATAAGGTTCAGTAATCACTCCACTTGATGATCCAGGCTTTTCAGGGTTAAAGCATTATTTCATAAGCTATGTTTAAAAAATGCAAAATGCAGGCATTTCGAATTATTTCGTTGATCCATAAGAGGAAAGTCTGATGTTGTCTTTTCCACCTCTTCCCTCCCTCTGCCGTTCGCTCTCGCCTGTGCCGCCAGTGTGAAGAGGATGGCCAAGGCTTCTTCAGCCTTGATGACGGCGCCACCAAGTTCACCGACCTGATTCAGCTGGTGGAGTTCTACCAGCTCAACAGAGGAGTGCTGCCTTGCAAACTCAAACACCCGTGCACCGTCGTGGCCTTATGACACCTTCGGATCACATGACCCCGCCCCCCCAACACTTGACCTGACTCTGCCTAAAATGAAAAGAATCTCCCCGTTGATCGTTTCTTTTTGTTTTTATCTTTGTAAGAAGCTGGTGAATTGACTGACGTTGTTGTTGTTACACTTGTTTTTATATTGTTGTGAGCTTGCTGGAGACTGCTGATATTTTTTATTTTTATTTTTTTTTTTGGGGGGGGGATTTCGTTTCATCTGCATGGAGGTTCGAGGAGTCTGATGCACAACTTCACTCCAGAGGCTCGCAGTTTTAAGAGAAGATGAAAGAAATGAACACTGCCATTTGTGTCGATGCTGTTGCAGAATCTTCCACATTATTCTTACCAATAGTCACCAGAAAAGCGTGGACCCTCGAGGTTTTACCACGCAGCTCAAATGGGAGCACCGTTCCCCTTCAACTGGACAATCAGCAGGAGAATTGAAGCTTTCATGCGGACTACTCTGCTCTTTAAGGACAAACGAGTCTCGCTCATTTTTATCAAATGTCCTCAGAATGAATTAAGAGTTTGTCTCTTAGTTTTGTACTCGTGGAAGTGGGCATGGCATTGGATGCCGCATGATCTCTCAAGTGGCACATTACTTAACTGTGAGGTGGTGCCATCGCCCTCTAGTGTCATAAGAATGCATGGACATTTTGAGGCACCAAAATTTTTTTCTATTTTTTAATCCCATTGAATTTTGCAAAAATTAAAGGTTATTGAAACAAAGCTTTTGGTATAAGTACAAAATCTTTTCCCACACACAGCTTCAGTTATTATCATTACTAAAGACAAAATCCACCTTTTTGCATCCTGGATTTTAAAAGCTCTTGATTTTCACATAAGCTCTTTATCTATTCTACCTGCAATTCAGTTTTCCAAGATATTCTTAAAGCAACTTCCTCAAAAACAAAACAAGTATAACTAGAAGAGTGAATTTTGGTCAAATTAAATTGAGGCCCAGTTGAAGAAAAAAAATAATAAAAATACTATTGCAGCTGTATGCAGGACGGTATCAGTGCTTCATTTCTCTTTGCCACAGCACAGGGAAGGATAACCACTAGCATTTCCTCTAGAGGTAACTACCAACACATCAAAGGAAATGTGGTTCGTTTTTAAAAAAACAAAACACAAAATTCCCCCCAGAGATGCAGACGATCCTGTGGGGAGCCTCTGTCCCACAGTGACGCTCCTTTGCTCCATAAATGACCTCATAACTGCTGTAAAACAAACATGTGGCAATGAAAACAGTTTGGCGTGCTCTGACATTAATGGCAGACTCTGTGCATTACTTCTCACATAATGTTGCCTTTTTTTTTTTTTTCTTTCTACCTGGAACTACTTGTACCAAGACACAGTCACACATACATTTACAGCCCACCTTTTTACAACCAGGAAAGACCTTTCACAAAAGTACACCATCAGAACATCCAACAGTGATACCTGTATCGCCGCCTTCTCGTTTTTCCTATCCCGGCCTTGTTACTCTTTCTTCAGCCTGCTCTTCGATAAAGTGAACATACTCTGTAAGCAGAGAGGGAAAACTGGAAATATTACTAAATATGTGTGTTTGAGTGACAACAATAGGAGCATCAGACTGAGAACAGCAGGTGTACAGCTCATACAGTTGGTCTGGAAGCAGTTGTGACTACCTTTTGTCCCACACAAAACAATTTGAATAATACAAATAAATATTTTGTTGGCTGAAAACTTGTCCGCGATGGAGCTCCTAGAATCACCTGTTTCAGTTTGGAGTCTCCATATAGATCAGCTTTCTCGTTGGATAGACTCGTACACTCCCACTATAGATGACGCACAACGGGCATCTCAAAGTTACACTGGACGTAAATGTTGGAGGCTCTCGCTTTCCTCCACTTAAGTAGGTTCAGAATCAACAATCTCTGCGGAGTGTTTATTTTTTTTCTACCATTTTTACATCAACAGCCATCTATTATTTGCCAGCAGGTTGTCTTAAGGAATTTTAGAAGTGAGATGCAGAATAGCAGCGCTATGTTGACACTCTGTGTGTTCACCATTATTTATGTAAGATGCAATGGCTTTTTTTTGTTTTTATTGTTGCAGCAAAATGTTTATTTATTTACCTGGATGTGACTGATTACTTGAAATTTTTAGATATTTTTCTCGGCGCTGTTCAGTACTTTGTTTTTGTTTTTTGTCATTACTTTAAATTCATTGTTCAGGGTGATTTAATAGAATTGTAATGACATGACCTATATTGACTTTTTAGTTTGATTATTCAGCAATGATTTGTTATCATCAGTCTTGTTATGAAGTCATGTTTAAAGCACACTGGCCTCCGTAGTGTTAACATTGTCATTCCAAATGATGGCACGCTGGAAAAATGAAAGAATGAAAGGTATCTGGGTTTCCCAAAGCATTGATCACTTTGAATTTTTTTTTCTTCAGTTTTCTTTGACAGTTCTGATATTTATTCCAGATATCAAAATTTTCCAGAACACAAAACCTCTAAAGTTGGCTTTCTCGTGGTGTCCTTAAAGAACCATAGACATGAACTAAAGTAATAAATCCACAAATGTTTTGGGAAACTCGGTCAGGTAGAGGACAACATTGTTGTTAAAAAGGAGTTTTAGAAATTAAAGTAAAAATTTTAGATTGGATATAATAAACAATATTACAATAATGGTATCTTTTTAAGAATGAAAAAAGGACGTTGCTGTTTTTAATCATTGTATGAATGTGGGAGGAGTCTGTCACTGATGTTTTACTTGCAGAGATTTGGACGAATATGGATTATCACACAAAGTGTTTCACAGTTGCTGGAAGTCATCCTAAGCTGCTGAGTCCTTACCGTTGTTAGTTTATTGTAATATGAAAATGTTAAGTACCCCCCCAATGAGGCTTTGTTTTGATGTAGCAGATGAGCTACAGTGAACAGTACAGGGAGCTTTGCAAGTGTGGGTTTATATTTTACATAAAAACGGTAAGGGTTGTACTAACACTAAATGCGAAACTCAGTTTAAATTGGGGAACACATGGAAGGTGGAGTAAGGCTATTTGGTGATCTGTTTTTGCCTAACTGAACTGAATATACCTGGGTTGCTCAGGGCGCACTTGAAGCATGTTAAAATTACTGATCTGTCAAAAGACGAGTACACAATGATGACAAACTTGGATATTGTAGTTTAATTAAGTTGAGACTTTTCTCCATTGCATGCACCACCCATTTGCTAGTTGTGATTACTTAAAGTATATATGGAGAAAATCAAACAGAACAAGCAATTTTTAAAAAACACTGTTTTTGGTTTTTCCATAATTTGTTTATATTTTTTTCTGTTTGTTGTTAAAGGCCTGAAATACTGGTTTCCTGAGCTGATTCAACCCCCCTCCCGCACCGCCAAATACACACTCAAATTAGACAAGCGTATATCACTCATGTTGGAGCATGTTGTTAGCTTTGGCAGTCAGGTAACTTGTACCCACAGATCGTGCCTCTGATACACCCCACCACCATTCCTGTGCACCAACTAGGTCTAAGATGTGGACCAATGGCAAAGCTACTGTCCATAAACACTTGATGACTACATATAACACACACACACACACACACACACACACACACACACACACACACTCTGAATCTGGTATAAGCTGTTAGGAATGAATGCTTTTCTCTTCAGCTGCAGTTTTGGTGTGCTTCTGGAGCTCAGACATTTGGCCCTTATTCTGCAAAGGTGGCGCGATCTGTTCTGACTCTTGTGCATTTTCATAACATTGTCATAATGCAAGATAATGTGGCTGTACAAATGAGTAAAAGTAAAAATATATCTATAAAAATATAAACTTATGTATTTCAGGGAATGCAAAAAAGAAAACGGTAACTTCTCTTTTTGTAAGAGAGAACTTCTGTATTCATAATGTGCTTTGCTTCAATCTGTAAATACTTTAATGGCTGATAAATCTTAATTGTAACATTTTCAGGTATTTTTGTACAAATAAGGGACTGATATATTCTGTTTATTGTAATTAGAATAAAACATTAATACATTGATATAAAAAAGACAGTGTTTGTCTTTATGCAGAGAAGCTTCCCTTTCATATGTCTTATTAAAAGTAGCAAGTGAAGGTTTCTGTGAGGGACTAACACAGTACATTAAATTGAATGTGAAAAACAAATTATAAAGCTATTCTATCTGCTACTTTGGGTAAAACAGAGTCAAGTGCTGTATACACTAAATGGACACATCTACTAATAACTAATTTTGGGTGTTTCATTCAGTCCTTTTGCATAAAACAAAACGACCCATTCTTGGGGGCTTTAAGTATTCCCTCATTTCGGGTGTGGTCCTGTAGTAGGAGGCTTCTGTTATAACAAATGTGTGAAATTTCTTCCAGGGCAAAAATTCACACAGACACATGCCAAAATCTTGTAGAAAGCCTTCCTGGAAACTTTAAAAATGTGATATCATAAAACCACGTGTTTTCACCCATGAAGTGCAATACTTGGTTATTCCAGAAGATGGTGCAGTGCTACAGCCAGCTCAAGAGCTAGCAAATAAAGTGTCTCTGGAAGTATTTGATAGATTTAGGACTTAGTACATTAAGATCTCAGACTAAATCTTTGTGATATGTGGTTAGTGGTGCTAAGAAAAGTTGGTAGTTGCGGGGCTGTCATTAAAGGCATCGTGAAATTGCCCTTTGACACCATCTGTCACGCCCTTTGGATTGTGAGTCATGTGTTGAGGCTCAG